TACGTTACCTACGTACTACGTTACGTTACTTCGTACTACGTACGTTACGTACGTACGACGTAACGAACGTAACGTACTACTACTACTCTCTCTCCTCCTCCTCTCTCTCTCTCTCTCTCTCTCTCTCTCTCTCTCTCTAACGTACGTACTACTACTACTACTCTCCTCCTCCTCTCTCTCTCTCCCCACTATCAACACCACCCACTCTCTCTCTCTCGCTCTCTCTCTCTCTCTCTCTCTTCTCATTCTAAAAAATCTTACTATTTTTATTTCTCGTCTCTGTCTATCTCTCCTTGTTTATAGAAATCTCTTTCTACTGCCATCTTGCTCTAGCCATTTCCTTCTCTCTCTATCTCCACCATTTTTACATCTCTAGAGATTCCTTGCATTTAACCCCTTTTCCAATTAACAATTATATTTTCTAGGTTGCATTCAGATGCTATTAAAACAGCAGAAACCCATTTTACAGGAAATATTGTTTAGAAGAAATGTATTTTACATGAATAGTTGTCCTAGACAAAAAAATTTCCAGGGATCCAAATGGGCCCAAAATGTTTTTAAAATTTTTGTTATTCTCACGAAACATTCATGCAATATTTTCTAAAAAAGGAGAGAAGATCTTATAGGAAAAAGGGTCATAACCCAGTGCTAGTCCCGCCTACACAAGGTCCTAAGAGCTGGAAACAGTCCTAACTTTTGGGCTTTTATGCACAAAGTGGCTGCATCTGCGCTCTTGTGCTGGCTACCCGAACCTTTTACCGTCACACGAAGATCTTATAAGAAAAGTGAAGTGAATATTTTTCTTAGATATTTATTCTTTAATAAATAAATAATACTAGTCTAAAATAATGGATCTTAAAAACTTTGTAGAATTGAATTTTGTTTGTTTAGAATATTACCAATTTAAAATGAGAAACTTGATGTATCAATCATAATACTTATACGAACCTCTAAGGGATGCCAGTCAGGCTCACAGGGTAATGTTGGCTTTTGGTATTGTTTGGTTTAATGAGTGTAGTTGGATATGAAATTCCTATATTGTCATAGAAAAGTCCAATCTCTTTCGTATACAAAAGGTGAGCATAAAGACTTCCTAGTCTTTTAAATTTATTTAATTTGTTGTTTTTGTCAATGTTATCATATTTGCTTCACTTTGGTCTAAATAGCTGGCTTCAGGCCCTATACCGAAGTGAAATGAATCAACTCCCCATTAAAATAAAAATATAATTGGTAAAATTTCTCAAAATGCCTTGGTGTGTTCAATAGAAAAGTACCCCTAGGATATTTAAAAATTTGGAAAGTATGCCTTCAATTTTAGAAATTTAAAAAAAGCTCTTACACATGCATTTACAGTTAAGGTTGACGCCTTATATAAATTCCCCCACTTCTCTATCTATATATATATATATATATGAATTGGCTGGACAACATTTCTACAATGTCTGGTCCAGAAGTATAAAGAAGCCATCTTAAAGATTGATGCAAATAGGTGGCCCATCTGAAAACAATTGTAACTAACTGTCCAAATGTTTCTTAATATAATTATTATTTTTAATTTCATTTTTTTTTTTTTCATATTCATGAACTCCATGTTGAAGATTATATATTCTCTAAAAATTAGGATCAAATTATATTTAAAAATATATTTATTGTCAAGCCTGCATTTTTACAGGTGTGGGCTTGGCCGCATGCTAACCGTGTCCATATATATATATATATATATATAGATAAAGTTTGTAACATGCACTCAAAAGATTTCCCCAGATTATGATGAAGAGCCAAAGCTTTCGTCTTTTCCCACCAAAACAAAGAGTACCCCCAAAACAGGTCATGAAACATTGGTTTTATATGAAACAATATTTTATATGAAAATACCTATAAAACAATTTAACATCACATTTTTTTTTATTTTTAAATTAGAAATTTTTATTTAGAAGAAAAAACACATGCTGAATAAAATTAAGGATTTGAGGTTTCCACCATTTCTAAGCTAGTTTTTAATCATATTTCAACATATATGTTTTCTATGTCTTCAAAAGAACACGGCTAGAAATTTGTGTCAAGAAAGAATCTAATCTCTTCCTTTTTATATATCATCAAGACAAGAGGGTCCAAATTGTTTAGATTTCCTTAATTTACTATTTCAAGTAAAATTATGAATAAGATAACAACTTATTAAGTTTTATTTTTAAATTAGTGAATTTCAATCTTTCTAAAAGAAATAGCTTATGCTAAGTTAAACTCATGGAGAAAATCCAGTAGCTCTGTAACATACATTTATATTACTAAGGGAGAATATGTTGGAGCCTGTGTTTCTTGATAGTTTATCTTCCAATATTTCTCATGGCTTTTGAAAAATAACAGATGTTCTTAATTTTGCTCTTTCCTCTATTGGTTCTACCTAATGTTGGTGGGATTTGGCTTGAATACATTTTTTTGTGTACATTGAGTTTGCTTATTTTCCTTGCTAGATGATACCTTGATTTTTCAAGTTCTTCCAATTTTTCATGGATTGAAAGATCTCTGCATAGTTGATATAATGTATAAAATTATCAAGTTGAGCTTCACAGGTGAATTAGATTAGGAGTTATAAAACCTGTTTTGTTGAACCGCTGAAACAATGATCACTAGCTTTCTTCCATAGGCAAACCTTGAAAAAATGCATTTGTGTATATTTGGGGTGTTGATTAAATGCATGTATGTGTTGATTGGATGAATCTGTCTTTGTATGTATTCAGATTGTTGATTCTGCATGGAACTTGATATATTGAAATTCTCAATTTATTTCCAATTTTTCTTCAGTAAAACAATCCAAGAATACCTTGAATAATGCATGAATTTAATGGATATGAGCCTCACTGGTGCATTACATCAATTATATGCGAAGCCCATTTTGTAAATCAATGGTTGCTAGGTTTGCCTTATGTGGACATCATGATGCTATAGAGTACCAAACATACTTAAAGCTAGTGGCCTATCTGACATGAGCTTCAGCATTCGATAATCGAGCAAGATCACTAGTTAGTTGTCTCATTCTTTAAAAATATTCATCAACATACACCGAATCAATGTAAATAATGTATTTGTTGTTCTTTGAGCTACATTCCCTGTTCTTTAGCATTCGGTTTTGCACAGGATGACACCTCACTATCTCTGTTCCATTGTGCTTTGTCCTCAATTGCTGTTTGCGTTTTAATAAGGATGAGGTTTCTATGAGTTAGCCAATTCAGATGTACATGGGGCCTCCCCTCTAAAAATCCATTTCATAGATGGATTTTTTATCTAATGTTTTCGTAGATTCATCATCTAGGCCAAGGTGATCATGACTATGAAAAACTAAATAAACTTTTAAAACTTAAAATATAATTTTTTGGTATTTCTTTGTGCACCGTCCATATGTTATTCATACACGAGACACTTTACACAATGTCCATCTTTAGGATGGAGGTTTGTGAGTCCGAGGGGACTTCATAGGGTGCCCAACAAATATAGGATCTATTTTTGACATGAAATGGATATATCCATATATCTTTGACTCATATTTACGAGATAATAAAATATGAAAAAACCTATACCAAGAATTGGTTCGAATAGGAATACACGTATTGGTTCACAAAAGAATGTACATAGCCATGACTCCTCTTAACTGAGACGACAGATCAAATAGATGAAGTAGGAATCAATTTGGATTCCACGGTACATATTTGGATCAGGTCATGCTTAAGAAAAAAATTCTTTTTTTTTTTTTCAACTCATTTCTATTTGTGGCTCGGCCATTCCCCTGTGTTGAGCCTTCTCCTTTATGCACGTACTGGCCTAGCTCAAAAGGTTACACCCGGTAACTCACGCAACACTTTTTCTTTTAATAATGGGAAAGCTTTACCTGTGACCCCTCCCACATATAAAGTATATGTGACCCTTGCTCTTAGCCATCGGCTTTGAGTAAATGGCTGGGATGCTTGAGTCACAAGTTGGCTCTGGAGCGTTAGATCTTGATCCGATGACTCAAAGTGCTTTATTTTTTTTATTTATTCCATAAATCATTTTGCAGAAAAATTTGAGGCATGCATACTTCTGACAAGGGTGCACATGATAAAAATCATAAAAAAATATGTCCTTTCATGAAAATTTACCAGAATACCCCTCAAACTTTTAGGGGCATTTTGGTCATTTATTTTCATGATAAATATTTTTTTATTTATCTCAAAAAGGTTTATTTTGGAGTGACATTGGGTGCACATGACAAGGGTGAAAGTTGTGATGCCCCAAATTTCACTAAAAAATGTTTTGTAAAAAAAAAAGGAAAAAACTAACCTGAAATTGTATTTTGGAGTGACATTGTGACATGAGCAATCCTAGCCATCCTTCAAATCAAACGGCTAAGAAATGGGGTCACATAGAAAGCTTTCCCTTTAATAATATAGACTTCT